GCAGTATTCGCCATGAGTTGAATATATTTTAATCTCGCGATTCTTCAACTGCTAAAATCGCGGGCCTGAATCCTAAAATCAGTTCTAAAAATCCTTAAAGACATCATTTAAACATGCAGTTAAATGGGTTCACATTCCCTCAAGGTAAGCAATGGGAGGCGTATATTTTGGTTTTGCACCAAGCGTTGCTCACTGTTTTTACCTTTCATTATGACGTATCAGTTCAAAATTTTCATGAAACAATTCAAATCTGTTCGATTTCAAATTCGCGTATACATCCCCCTACACTAGGATTCCGACAACAAAGCGCTGCAAATCCTCAGCTCCAGAAACCGCTTGTGTATTGCATGCTAACGTTGCGTCCACAAATCACAGCGATCTCAATGTTGTCCGTGGCACAGCAAAGACAGTAAGAAAGGAAGTCGACATGGGTCACCTTTATATCATCACCGCAAAGTCTAGTTCGCTCCAGCCTTAACCGAAATAAAAAAAACGGCAACTGCTCAACACATTTTGGCCTCCTCTCATTACCCTCACAACAGTCAGCAACAACGTGGATCATCCAAAACTCATCGGCTCCGTCTGCTGTAACGCCCTTGATAAATCCCATTGTCAGCCGACTACCAAGCAGAGTGACTTGCAAATGAAAGCGGGACGCTTTGTTACTTATCCACGTTGACTGTTAAACCCTCATGAAAGACATCGATTACAACAAATAAGTAAGAACCATTTGTATGGATGCTGGAACGCACCAAGCTTCATCTGACACAATTTGGCGTCATATGCACACGTGCATGGTGACATTGACACTTGTAATCGCTTCACTTGACCCACGCCGCACGTACGTGTCACTCGCATAATTCTAGCATCGAGACCCGGTGCTGTCTGTGACGCTCTCAGCGCGGTACTAATGGTACCTTCTAGAGACCTTCACAACCACTAATGGTACCTCTCAGATGCATTCAGCAAGAGGTCACCCATTTTTGCGAAGTTGAACGGTGCGATCTCCATGATGATCTGTGCGAGCTGATCCAATATCATTTGGAGTACTGTAAAAGTGTTAAAATACCAGTTGTACAAATACTAGCTGCTCAATCAGATGCTGTGCTTCTGCAAAGATGCAATGTTATTACAATTTATTCACCCCACCCCCACCCCGGCACCTATTAGCCTCGGGCACACAGAGCACTCGGAATGTCAAAAAGCTGAAGAACACAGGTCGTAAACAGATCCAGATCTTGGCGAGCAGGTGCCACACTAAAATGATGTATTTTGACGGGGCAGAGAATGAATAAACCTGCTGACCAACTTGTGGGCCCACGTGCGCGCACCGTCACGCGTTTTTACGCCCGAAGTGCTAATCTGACGTTTTCGGGTGTTTTATGGAATGATGTCAGATCGTGACAGCCACGGTAGGTCCAGACGCGGCGCCGGCAGTACGGTTCAAACGAATGGACTGTTTGCTCATGATTAGTCTCTTTTGCATACGGGAAATTACGTTCGAACTTTATTTTGGGGTCAATTCGACGTCTAAGGTTTCGAAATTTACACGGGATGCAATTATCGTTTTATGACACATGCTGGCCGCCGGGGCATCAATTCTCTTCTCGCATGCACGTTTTATAAATTCGGTCGACGGTGCACTTAGCAGGTGAAATATCAAGGTACAATACATTTTGTAATGCCCCATTTAATGGATCTAAACCGCACGTTTCGCGAAATGAATGGATGCCAGCCCCGACATCGAGAAGTGCACGCTGTGCTTAATCCGTTCTTGCGGCACTAGCTGATGCAGGAGAACGCAGCTAGGGGGATAAGCTTCACCTCTGACTGGGACTTTTGATCTACTGTGCTCACTAAGCGTAGAACGGCAGTGGCCTAGGACAACTTTTGGGGGTGAAGACGTTACCCGCAGGCTAGAAACGAAAACTAATCGCAGACATAATTAAAAGCAACATATAACGCAGCTCGTGAGTATATCACAAAAACGGAGGTTGAGGCCAACCTACGACAGCGTCCTATGATGATAGTGGTTATCATTTTGGGGCCTAGTAATGACAACGATGCGTAGCTTAACCGTACAAAAGCACAACTACATCAGAAACGAAAAGTTGTGAATGTCATATTATAACATTATTTCGGAGTCAATATCCTAGCTGAAGCCGTTCTGTACCTGTACATATTGAAAGAACGTTAAAGGGGGCAGGTACCTGTCGACTTACGCAGTGCAAGGTCATCGAATCAATAAAATAATCTTTTAATAAAATCACGGATGTACGAATCACGATCACGAGAGCAAAATGTGTGACATTCGGGAATGCTCTGCAGCACTGTGAACCCAAGCAGGCCAGCCAATATGGCCTGCTGGAGTAGACCACATCAAGAGAAAGCACACTTACCTGGTCATAGGGATGCTTCAGGAGAATTTCGGAGCACTTGTCTGCGCAGCGTTCGAACTCCCTTCGCCGGAAGCAGCTGATGGCTTCAAACAATGGGTCCATGTCGCACTACGATCAGACGCGCCCTGAACGCTGGGTTCGGTGGTCAGCTGTAAAGATTTCGGTCTATATGACAGTGGTTCAAAACGGGATCATCAGCGTGCAGGGATCTATTACACTCGTTTTATCATTTGTTGTTGACCGTGTGGGTCGATGGGAACCGAATGTTGCACCACGCCTGCTTGACACTGTCGTCGCACATGACGTTTGGTGTACCTAGTTTACAAAGGAATTCGTTATAAAGTATAATTTTGTTCGGCCGTAAGCTTTGCTGCTAACTGAACATTCACCATGAAAGGTGACACTCCTTATACGACTCCAGTGGTATTTAATTTCAGCTTGCCTGTCCATCTATCATTTACCAGTAGAAAGGCGGAAGTTTCACGGAAAGGTCTTCACGGTGGCTCTCTCAGTTCAAAAATCCACCAAACCTGGACCAGTCCAGACCAGGACATTTAATCACTTCCTGCCAGGGCACATTCTGTCCGCCCCCATTCCTTTGGGCCCGTCGCTCCTATAGCGTTCGCAGCGGTGCCACGGAATTTTGAGGTTTTTACGAAATTATTTTTCACTTTTTAACATTTTTAATTAATTTTTACGAAATTAGTGCACACGTATTGAGTTAAAACATTGCAAACAATTCGGAACGCCTCCCCTCCCATGCATTGGAAGCTCGTCATGAAGCGGGAAGGCCAAATCATGTCTGGTAGCATTACCCGCCCTCCAATACACTAACCCTGTTAATAAAGGTCAGTTGTCGCCAGAAGCAAATTCCAATATGCAGACCAATTAACCATATTTAAATTGCTACGACTTCAGCTTTATGAGAGCTTCGATGTATTTCAGTCAGCCACATCAAAGAGGCTCTTTTTTACTCCTTTGGTTTCATACAGGCAACCAGTTAATTGTCTACAGCCACAAGTTACGCCTCCGGGTGTTCGGGCAATGCCGACAGCAATCAGTGCTGGATCGGCCTTCTGTTTGGGTTCACGCTCTTCCTGAACACAAGGGAGTATTGTTTGTGCGTCTGTCTTAAGTGTGATCCCAAACGTCCACATCAAATCGTGTGCCCTCGTGTTCCGTCCACTATGCTCCGAGCAATCACGCAAAGGGATGCAAAGACACTCCAAGCCTAGAAATGCGAAGTCCATTGATATATTTATTTTCTAATCGTCGATGATAATGACCAACGACTTCATTGTAGTTCACATTGCAAGCTGGCTGTCGTTATTTCTGAGATTTTCGTCCTGACCAGTGAGGGCGATCCCTCTCCCGTTTGAGAAAAGGAGGGGAGGGGGGGGGGGGGTACGCCCCTCCCCTTCGGCGATATCCATAGCGTTATGTATGGAACGTAGATGTAGTCGCCTCCCAGAAAGCTGAGGAAACAATGCCAATCTCGAAGTACATGCTCTCCATGTATCGTCATTGGGTTAATATTTAGCATTGCGAAGAGATGGGGGACATTGCACTGAGCCCTTTCTCTTTGTTGCCACTCCCATGGTATAGAGACTTGCGAGTGATGTACACAGTAAGGCGGTAGAAGGACCCTTTGTGTACAAGTCGGTCTAATTAAAAAACAGCAATAAAACAATATCACAGGCAGAAGAGTGGAAAAAACGGGGAGAACAGGACTTAACAAGATGCTTCATGGTTAAGACTCTGCACGCCGAAAAAGCGAAACGAAGATGAGTTTACGAAGAAACAATGCAAAGGAATGTAATGCGTGCAGTCGCGTATACCTTAAAACTGATGCAAATGTATTATTCACGCACTACACAAAGTGCAATACGAAAAAATATGTGCAAAATCTAACTTCGGTGCGAAAAAAAACGTGACACGAAGCAAAGCATATGACAAGAAGCGTGATTCAAAAGGTTACGCAGGCTTACGAACACAACATTTCGTGTCTGATAATTTGCGATGCGAGCTTAGGTACGCCGAACGACGACGTGACAAACGACGCATGAGCTCTGCGTGCGAAGGAATGCGTTGCGAGTGAATGACAAAAAAATGCGATACACGGTTTTGTCTGGTCACGGAGAAGGCGGCATGCAACCTATCGGAATCAACACCGTATGTGACAGCAGATACAAACGTCTCGCTATTGATGCCTGGCTCACCGGTCACAGATTTGTCCCCCGGCACTCGCCCGCACGCCCAACTCCATCCACTTTTCTACCAAGTAAATAATGAACAATTCGCACCAAAACACCCAGAAATGTATCGCTATGGTAAGGTCTGTTGTGATGTTCCGATCAGTTACCATAGTTACCATCCAGAAGTTTTGTTGTGCATTTCTTTGGAATGCACAACTTAGCATGAAAGTGGTATGATTAGCATGTTGGGCTAAAAAATACATAAATTCTAGAATTCAATCTTAGACCTGAATTATAGGCTACTCTGTCCGATGTTGACTTAAATAACAGAAAAGTTAGCCGTTTTGAATACTAAGTTCAAAGTTACCCACCATGTTTGCCTCAAAGTCCAGCACAGCGCAACAATAGCTAGCAAAACACGAGTTACCATATGATTTAATTGTGGCGTATAACAGCAAAAGCGCGAGTGGGAAAGCATCTGTATTGCGTCTGGACTAATCTGATATCATCTGGGTAGAAGCTACATTTCAAGAATGGCCACAGATCCGGAAGATGTGGATTTGGAGATGGTGCGTTGTACCCGTGTATCTACGATCTTAAATATTCGATCCAATCTTAAAGGAGCGTGTACCTCAACTATCGATTAATCAAGCAAAGGCTTCGTGCTTAATTCTTATTTCAGTGATAGCTGTGTTATTGTAATTGTTTTTGGCATAGAGAATGGTGAAATTGCTGCCTAGGCCAGATTTTCTAAATGAGCTTATCCTTGAGATTCATTGTTAAATTTTAGGTAGGTTTTTCGTGCATGGAAAATTTGTTCAGCTTGTATGTGCTACACATAATTTCAAATTTTTTGAAGTATTTAACAGATACTTTCATGCATATATCACAGTGCAGTTGGTGACAATGTAGTTGGTTAAATGGTGACAAAAGGTGTTCAAGTGTCCTCAAACATGCTCAAAGCATATTTGAGGTGAAAGCTGGCCTGTTCTTTAGACTAAAAAAATGTTTAATATGTCTAAACAAGTATGGCATAGCAACAGCATTCTGTCAATGAGGTTAGTGCATACTGTGAACTTGAGTCTTGAGTTGGGCGCATGGTTGTGAATAATTACAGAGCATAGTAAGCCAATGTTTCAATGAATGATGATGTCATAAAGTAATTACATCTCAAAATACCATCTTCTAAAATTTTCAGTAGCAATTGTTTCAAAATTCAGCATCAATTGGCTTTGCCTTAGATTGTTGCATGCATGCTCCAGGTTCAGCTCATCAATATGATAGTATTCAGAGAGCAGGATAGATTTTTTGCAGGCTGGCTTAGGTCTAGCAATGAAAAAGGCCATTCACATTGAATAATACTTGTTTGTTTGCATTTCATAATTCTCAGTTTTTAATACTATTTTTGTCAATTCTGAGCCAGGCTGTAATCAAAACCTTACATTGAGCATGTCTGGAGTAGCAGTAACATTCTGGTATTAATTTCATCACACCCACAGCATGAATTCCAGAGCTGCAAGTTCATTGCATGACACTGCCAATTCCCAACCAAACTGAGCCAGTTTTTCAAAGAATTGTCATATTTGTCAGGTAATTTTAGCAAAGAATATCCCCACACCCTATAAAATCAGGCAATAATTTAGAAATTCAGGGCAATTTGACCTGACCTATGTTTGGTTCATGCATGCTTCAGGCTAAGCACACTGATCCCAAGAAAGGTTTAGCATAGTGGATGTTTTTCCAGACTGGATTCTTCACATATAATTCAGATGAAACATCTCTGCAACTCGGCTGATGTTAAAGGGCCAGATACTTTGCCCCTCCATTGCGGGTGTATGGGCTCATATGCTAGAATCACCCAAGAGTATGAGCCTCGGGCAGCAATATAAAAGGGGCATACTAAATTTGAATCATTTTTTAAAAAAGTGTGAGTGGAACATATATTTTCTGATCAGGTTGTGACTATTTTGATAATTGTCTCTGAGATAAGCAATGGCTAGTGAGGTTGCTGATTCCTGTCATCCATTCAAATAAGTTAGGAAGGAAGAATAGTTCAGTGAATAGACTGGTAGGTATGTACAAAGTCACACTGAGTAGTTTGGCATCCACCAATAAGTTTGTTTAAATGATAAAATCATCATCTCTATTTGCTTTCCTAAGAGCTGTGGGTTTTTTATCCATATTCAAGCCTGGTTAGATAAGTAGCACTTTGTTTTGGCTGTCAGTTGACAGTAGATGTTGGCGCACCAGAGAATGTTGATTATTGTCATAACCAAGTCTGTTAATCTTTATGATTGCACTTTAGTTTTTCCACTTCACTTGAATACTGTAACTGAGGCCTATCAGCACTGTTGAAAAATATTAACTTGTGCTGTTTTGTTGACTTCTGGGTGGACCTCTGTAGCATGTTGTGGAGCCTCTGAAAATATTAGGTAAGTAAGGGACATGATTTGGACTTGTTTCTTTCCATCAAATGCTACAGGGTAAACATGAAATGCTGCTTGGAGTTCAGGGAGGGATAATGGCACATTACCCCATCCTAATCTGCAGCTTTTTCAAGGGGATTGGTTTCTCAGTTTCAATTTAAGTACTGCATGGTGATAAATTCAAATATTATGCAAAGTTATCATTATGTGATGCTGATTCTATGATGGGTGATAACATAACACTAAGTAACTATGAGCACTCCACCAGGATGCACACATGATGAAAATGGAGTTTAAGTTGTAAGTGAGTGGGCAATGCAATAGCAGTTTAACACAGTGAAGTTTAAACAAATATATTGCAATGGGATATGTGAATCTAAGCAAAACTAAGTTAAATAATGTTAAAAAATGAATAAACATAATTTGTCATCAGAAAGGACAGCTTGTGATGTAATGTCTTGATGTCTATAATGATGTGGCAAAAGCACAGCTTAAATGAACATTTCCACAATATTACCATTTATTGTGTACTATGAAGGTAGTGCAAGGAAAATAAAATCAACTAGAAAATGAATCATTAAATGATATGTGTGGTCAATGTAACATGAAGTAACTGGGATTGCATTATTACATAATTGTTCTATATTTGGCATCAACAGTGAGTTTTACCACGCGGAAGCTATCACCATTATGGCGTTCATTGTCCATTTACTGGGGACATTGGAAGTTACCTTTGTCTTTGGGGGATCATAGGTGCATCATTTTGAAGATCGGCAATAACTGTTGTCATTGTGTGCTGTAAAATGGTCTGATAATGGTCACATAAATACCAATTAACTCCATGCTCTTCCAGTCAATTGGGCCTCAGGGAGCTGGTGATGCAAGTAATCAGCAGGAGGAGCCTTCAAGCCCATCAGCTGTGCCTACTGTGTCTGAAAAGGTAAACATATTTACTGGTGTCTTGTTTCACCTCACATGTCATATTTCACATGATTGCCAATAACATTGAACCTTAACTATAGTTTTGTCTCATACAAGGTATGCATTAACAGGCATTTGGGGGAGGTCTGAGTGTCAGAACATGCATGCAACAGTAGGCTGCTGGCCCTCAGTCCTAATGCTCTTTCCAAAAAGCTTAGTCTTGCCAGCCTTGTGCCATTGATTAGCAATATTTCACCACTGTCGTTTTTATATGTAACCTGAACTGTCTATGCCAGAACTAGCAACAATACAATCTACCCTTTCAATGTTTATTACATCTTTTCATGGTGCTCTTGTTCCATGAAATATGAAAACTTATAGGCATGGTGGCTGAGCATTTGGGAGCATGAATAGAAATGCTGGCACGTCTTTGACCGGCCTTCCGCCCCAGACTGCAGCACGCGATCAGCCAGTCCCCTGGCTCCCGTTCTCAGGTGCCCACCGACCGCGTGGACGGCAAGAAGGCGCGCGTGCCGCGGCGCGTACTTCACTTCAGCGACGGCACGATGGAGGAGTACAGCACCGACGAGGAGGACGAGCCGGACAAGCCACCGGACACGCTGACGCAGCTGCGCGCGGCGGACACGGTACGACCGCCGCCGCGCAGCGGCGGACGGCTCAAGGCTGTGCTGCGGCGGCGACGGAGCGCCGGCGCGCGGGCATGCTGGGTGTTTGTGATGCGTGAACGGCTAGCGGGCTGCACAGTCAGGCGACGGCTGATGTCTGGCGGTGGTTGGGGCAGAACCTTGCGTCGTTTTGGTAGGTGAAGTTTGTCGGCAGTTTCAAAGCTTATTCACATTTGGCGCATCAGAATGGTTTATCTGCGCCGCTCATATAAGCGTTTTGACGCCAGCTCAGGCGGCGGAGATGACAGCTTTGCGATGTTGTTCTCTGCAGGGGCAAGTGATCTCGAAGGACGTGCAGGGGTGTGGGGTGCTACGTTCTGACAAAACATGCTAGTTCATACTGATTTTTTAGCATAATCTGCAGGCTTTAAGGCCTAACCTCGCACATGCGCCATGAGCGTGTTATCAGTTTCCTCGTGGTGCGTGATGTTCTTCAGCCTTGCTAACTGAACGTTTTGACCGTTAATGTACGTAATCCAACTGCACTGCAAAGTATCGCATTACGCAGCTAAGGCTCATGTCGTATCCGGCAGAAGTTCCTTTCCACTCGATCTCGTGCATTCACGCGAAAGCCCCTCCCTTCTGCCGGTGACGCCCACACCCCGCGCCCCGCCCGTCCGCCAGAAGTCGATGGGCTGGATGCCGTGGGCCTGGTACTGGTTCCGGTTCGCCGGCTACAGCACACTGAGCGGCGTGGACAGCGTGGGCGAGCGGTTGGCGTACATGCTCGGCATCACGTCGCCCAAGTACCAGTACGAGCTGGACGAGTACTACGAGATGAAGAGGAAGGTCAGCGACGCCCTAGCCAGCCGTTGGCGTGGCTCTTTGGCTATCTGGGGTTGTATAGGATGAAGTCATGTCGCGTTCTTTGGTTTGCGTTAAAAGGAGTGCTCCTACACAAAGCTAGCAGGCCAGTCTTGCCAGTTGTGTTATAATGCATTGTTGTTTTTTTCTGCTGACGGTGCCCTTAATTGTCTCATCTTCCCGGTTCCGTCACGTTTTCGCAGCAGCAAGGGGGGGGGGCCGCTCGCCGATCCGATACCCATTTAGGTACAGTAGTAAATCGAGAAGCGGGCGGTGTCCTTATACGTGATCCACAAGTTGGCCATTGGACATTTTCCCCTGCGGCCGGTCAGGACGCCGGTTCAAGCGATGCCAAAGTGTGTACTTGTCACGTCTAAGTAGCCTTGCGCATGCGCACGGAACAAAGCTGATGCAGCTTAAAGAAAGCCATCCCTTGCTTCAAATGGGTAATGCGAGGTTATTTTGGGTCGTTTCTTGGCCTCTTATCGCCTTGATATCGTATGGTCTTGCAATTGCAATGCTCATGTATAATGGTATTAACACATTTCGAAATACCTACGAGCACTAATTTTGATGGTTCTGAGGGCTTAAACTGACGTGCCCTTCCTGTTCAATGATCTTTTAAAGAAAAAAGTGAGCAGCCGCAGCGGCCCAGTACCTCAGGCATTTTCCTTCATGACAAAAAATGCAACCAAATTTCAAAGGTGTACTCTGATGCGAACTTAGCTTAAAAGAAACTGAATACGAAACCAAAGTTCCTCAAATAAAACGGAGAGCTTGACGTTTTTGCTCAGTTCTGGCAAGCGTTAAGAAACTGGCAGTTCCAGATCTGATGACGTCACGACCCAGTAAGTGTTTGCATGTTATTTAGGTCGATGCGATGGTGCGCCAATGGTGTAACGGTTAGCGGTGATAACGCTGCGCGTCTGGGAAACTAGAGATACAGAGTTCGATTCTCTGCGGTCTCGATTTCTGCAAGGACGAGAGACAGATGACGTCACATAGCCTCAGCCGGAGTGCGGCGTAAAGCCCCAATGACTGAATATATGTCTTGGATTGACTTGTTTTGTTTTGTCATCAGTGATGTTGCGTGTGACAGACCGTGCAGCGACGGATCATTGTCACAGGTCTCTAACGACGTGATCATTCCGCCGCCAGGAGGAAGAGGGAGCAGCACCAGCGCGACCTCGAGTCCGCCGGCTGGACACCCGGCTCGGCGCGGACCAACTCGGTGTCCAATCAGGCGGCGTACGTGGTCCCCGCCGGCCAGTCAGAGCCGCCCACATCGCCGCCGGGCCAATCGGGCGCCGCCGCGGCACTGGCATCCGACCAGCCGCCGGCGGACGCGGGCGTGGTTTCGGGACAGCCTGTGGCTTCCGAGACGCGGCCCTGAGCCGCCGTCGCTGCTGACACCGAGTTGCTGCCTTGTGAAGAGCACCTGTTGCGGGGTGACGCGCTTCTAGTCACCGATTTGCTTTCTGACAAGTCGCTGGCCTCGCGCGTGATGAGAGGTTTTCACGTCGACTGCCTTATGCCGTTGCAGTCACTGTGTGCGTTTGCAGTTTCTGATTCTCGTCATACGCACATGGCAGGGCGACAAAGGGCCCTACTGTGGCGGAGTCCCTCGGCTTGGTAGAAGGTACTGCGATTAGTGAAACTAGGGTAAACCAAAGGCTGGCGAGGTTCGAACTGGGAGGAGAACTGGATGCCGTTGCTGGACTACGGCGACATCAATGTATCAAGGCTAGTCCCCAAGTTGTTTGTGGCGGGCTATGATTACGCTGTTTGCCGCTCTTGTGGTGTAAACAGGCACTGAACAGCTTCGTGTCTGTTGCATGCTCTGCACAGAGTAGAATACAAGCTTGGGGTTTGGCCTGGCGGACTAGGAATAAGAGAAAATGGGTGTCATTTAGAAATTTAACGTGAAATTATGTCGAAAAGTACGCATGTGAAGTACCTGAAAACCGTATGACTGCACGGCTTATATTTGGTGTTAAGGATTGTCTGAAAGTAGTCTCATTAGCGAGGAACCAACGTACTTAAGCCCAAAGTCTCTTAAGAGAGGAATGAAATAGTTCTTTAGCATATCCCCCCCCCCCCCCCATCATGACTATGAAGACAGATACCGTGTTGTGGTTCGCATGGCGAAGGTGGTTCGAGCCTGGTCCCATTATCAGATAGTGGCACGACTTTATTGAAATCCAGTACTATTGTATCTAACTACCATTAGCGTCTTAGCGCGGCTATGCATTTTCTGCGGCGCTATGCGTGTTGCTTCTGGAGTTCCAAGCTTGAATCCAAATAGCGTTACATTATATTCGTTTCACGATCTGATTATGTTATGCTATGTATATTTATGCGGCGATGGATAGTGTGATCAAGATTCCAATGGCACGTGGTGGCTGCATGCAATATGCTAATAAAGCGTGACTGGCTTGTCCATTGTCCGTTGTTGACTGAAACTGGCTGAAACGCTTCTGGCAATGCTGTCGAGCAGTTACAACGCATAGTTTGATAAACGGGGGCGTACCCAGCACGACGAAAAAACCGCCTGGAGGGCAATGGAGTCGCAGAACAAACCAGGTTCTCATAACGTGGCTTTATTCCAGCCATTCTTTCAGGTACATGCAGAGTTGTGGTGTCACTGACCCGACGTCTGAACACTGGTCGATGACCTGGAAAGATAAACACTGGGTAACCGCGCCGTCTGCAACCAAAGCAAAACATCTGAGAGAAAGCTCCGTAGGTTGATTAACCAGGACTGAGATGATAGTAACACTACGAACGTGGCATGTCGTGGGCATCACCCATACACAAAAACGCTTCATATCCTTGATAATGATTTGGGCTTTGGTGCGCACCGACTGCAATGGTTATACGACGCCCATGCTTGATATCCTTCGTGTTGCGGGTACACCGCTGGGAGCAAGGATAGAGAGCGCGCCGGGATGGTCCGCCGCCACACAAATACACTTCATTCACGCGGCCCCCCACTGCAGCGGCGCCTCTCACCGGACATATACCGCAGGGGGTTTTGATGAGGCCGACAGGTGGCAGCAGCGTCTGCGTGGCGCGGTACAGCTTGAGCTGGTCCTCCGAGCCGCTGCCTGCCTGCAGCCGCCGCTCCACCTTCCCATCGTAGATGAGCGTGTCGAGGATCTTCTCGATGTCTGGCACGGATAAGCTCACCTGCGCGGCGCAGGAGTGGCTGGGGTCAGGGGTATTGCCGCAGTGGGGGGGGGGGGGGGGGGAAGGCAGAGGGAAGGGCTGACCCTCCCCTCTCTGTCGGCAGGCAAGGGGGCAAGAGTATGTTTTGCCCCCCCCCCGACCAAAAATGGAGAGGCCCCTTTTTCGTAGCTTGAGGCATTGCAGATGCATGAAGCGTATCAAAATTCAGACCAGAGGCCTTTCATAACTGAGCTAGAGTAATAAATCGGGCCCATAAGACCTTTTGCTACATCAAAAACCCCATTCCTTGGGTACTGAAAACGGTCTTCAAGGTCACCTTTATCAATAAGAAAGCCAATGCTCTGGATCACGATGTCCGATGTTGCCTTGCAGAGGTCACTTTCCTGGCTCGGGAGGCGCCCGTTACAAACTGTAAGGCACTTCAGGTTTAGGACGCAACTTCTTCATTCAGGGGGCCCAATGTCTGGAACAGGAGGCCCCTTTCATGTGCCAGATGGCCGCGGTTCCGGATAAGGATTGGGGTAGCGAGGCCCTTTGGCTCGGGTTGAAGACCCTTTAGTGAAACGTAAGCAACCTAGTCTAGATTAGGAGGCCCCTTTCTTGAACAGGAGGCTCTGTTTTAGGTTAAAGATGCTCTTCGCTAGATATTCGGAAGGCCCCCATTCCACAACTTTTATTTGGCGGTATTTATTTACCGGGACATGTTATATGCTACGGTTTGATAAGGGGTAAATGTTTTCGGTGCCCCTCCTCCCTGAATACGACATCGCATAGGGGGCTCCCTGTGAGGAGGCCCCATTTTGTCCAGGAGGCCCTCTGGAAAATTCTGCCCTCCCCCCTACTCAAAATCCGTAGCACCGCCCCTGGCTGGGGTTCATCAGGAGGGGGGGGGGGGGGCACAGCGGTTCCGTTATACGACCACGAGGGATGTTCAGTGTCCTTTGCTTGAGGCCTCCATGTGTAATGCATGAGCAGGGCACAACAGAATTCGGACACTCGACAAGCGGGCTTCGCTGGAAATAGATGGCATCATTCCCACAAGAGTATAAACAGGCACTTTGCAGCATGCAGCGAGGTATGCTGTTCGTCTACGATGGCAGTTCATGGTAGTTCGTAAGTTCGCTGCCGTTGGTTTCATGATAAATATTTTGTAGAGTACCAACCGAAGGCTTATTCGTTATATGATTGCAAATGTAGAAAGCAAACGAGCTATTTGTTATAATAGTTAAAATAGCCAACAAGCGTCAAACAAGAAGCGTCTTGTTCGGCCGGAAATTAGGTATCGTGAAAACCAATGGAGCCTGTATGTCGACCGCTTTCGAGCAAATAAACGCAAATGTTTGGGTAATTATTGGTCCCATTGTTGTCCGACTCGGTGCATTTACTTGGAGGCCCCAGTGAAAGAGCCATGACGTGTCTGGACCTCATATCCACCTCATATCCACTACATAACATATTTTCGCCGAGGGGTGAAAGCGGACAATTTGCTTATCAAGTAATAGCATCACGTGCACGGCTAACAATGCTTAGACACCACATCGACGAAACAAGGCCGGTCCTATTCCAGTTGCAGACAATTCGAAGCAGCAGCGATGGCTTCGCTTTCGGCGTCGACACGGCCATTACCAATCTTAGAGAAAGAAAGACCGAAGAACCACTCTGTTGGAGGGCAGGATCCCTGGCTGTTTCGTTTTCGACACGTCGGTTTTAAATGTTGCTTAATCTTGCATGCAAAATGGACCGGCTGCATCAATCAATGCATCGCATCGCATGAAACATCAATTGTTGCCGGCGGAGCATCAACTATAAACAATAATCATGTTCACCAAAGTTGGTGGATTTCCCCAATGATGAACACCTCCGCTGATTACCCGGCACAGGCCGCCGCTGTTTTAGCAGCCATCGTGTCGCTGCACGTTAAAAATCATGCTCATCACAAAGTGCGGCACGTACGGCCGATAGCAAACAACGATGTCAGAGTATGCACAATACATGCCTATTCATACGTTCGACATATCCACTGTATGTGAGATCTTCGGATCAGAAGAGGCGAGTTCGTGCAAACCGCATGGACCGTAAAAAATCAGCCCCAACAACACAGCTTTCACGAGGGCGTTGTGAGACTGGTTGTGAGGAACTAGGGGCAGGCGGGGAAGCAAGGCCGCTGTGCGCAGTTCCCCACGAGATTAACTTAGCTATAGCGTTGTTTTCGTGACGGAAAGGCGCAGCATGTGAACACACCTTAATCCTTCGTTATTCCGCTAATCTGCATCAGATCTGCGCGTTCAGCAAGTTTTCTGTGTCGAAAGCAGATGTGGTGTCCTCAGATGTCGTACTTTCTCTTATTTTCACTGTACTCCGCAAACTTAGTGGCAGGTAATATGAAAGAAGCTGGCATTCATGAAAATGAAGATAAAACTCACGTAATTCAATTCCATTCAAACCCGGATGCATACCTGGGATGGCGGGTAAGTTGGCAAAGACAAGTGACGCATCACTTATGACTAAAAGGAAACACGTCTCCATCCCAGGACGGCGCTGCCTGCTCATAATGCAGAACATGGGGCATTTAGGTGCATCATTTGAATGCGTCGCTACAGCCGTCACATTAGATTTGCATCTTTGCATGGGACGCGTCACCATCACACATAACCTCCCCGGTGACACCTCTCCTACATGCAGCCATAGGGCATATGTCTAACGGCCCCCTTCCCCTTTGATGGTACCGCCGCTGTCGGTAGGCTTTTATGCGTCATATGCACAGTGAATAAAAAGGGTTTGCAAAGACACCGTTCGTGGGATTATTTTGCAGCACAAAACTGTCGAAAGAAAAACACAATTTTAACAGGCTGTTAATGCCCAACATGAAGGCCGCAACGGATCACATAAAGTCAGCATCTTCATCTCTAGCGGGATCTCAATCTGCACTTCGTCATCGATAGGGCATAAACCACGGTGTTGGGAACTGCCAATTACTTTGAATGATAAATGTGTCATCGATGCAACATGTTACAACACTGCTTCTGCCTCCAACCGTGCGCACTTCAATAACATGTGTTCACTTCTTCTCGCAAGCAAAAGTTTTCTCCCCCCCCCCTTATATCTGGTTCGTCAGCCAGTAGGTAACGTGCGTGGTACCAGACGCTGAAAATCGATGACAATTCCCAGCAGCGCTGCACTGCGTGAATCTTTCCTCGGGTGAAACAAACATTTTTCTTTCATGCACAAACAAAGCGCTTAATAACGAACCCCACGGTTTTGCTACTCCCAGTCATAAAAGTCCTCGCCTAGCAGGAGCGCAACCACTTCGATATCATTGAACGCACATCCAACAGCTTGACACAAATTCTGCTCCAGTCGGTGTTCAGAATAAAAGCATGGCGCAATGCCACCTGAAGGCAAAGTACCAAATGCTGCCCGTGGTTCAGATGCAATGAACCACCAACAATTCCATCCTGCAAAACAGTGACGCTGCCATACGTGTCCATTGCATTTCTTCTCGGAATTTAGATTAGAGGGAAATGATACGATCAGCGGAACCCTTGCTGATGCTGCAGACATATGACGACGACTCGATCTGGTTCACCCTGAACTGCATGAAGCTGAGCGCCGAGAAATACTGCGGCTTCGGTCTCACCAAACCGGGCCTTTCCGCCGGCAAGACGAAGAACATGTTCAACTCGGACATCTACACGGCCCACGGCGACACAGTCGACGACAGGTGCGGCGAAACTAACGGCCGCAGACGCAGCGGCGGGCTGGACCAATGCGGCAGATCGGTGTGTCGAGGGCAGATGTAACGGTGTTTGCATTGCAGTCCCGGTCGCCATCGGGTGAGGGCGGCAGATGCATGTGTTTGCTTCACCGTATGTTTACGTGCTATTCAGAACTTTTGTTTTTCAATGCTGTGAATGGATCATTCATCACGTCAGCACCCAAAAATACAAATCTGAAGACATGTAGAAATATCTTCACTCGATCACTCACGTTTCAAGAACCGCAATATTTGGCATCTATCGGCTATCAAAGTTGGCGTATCAGCCCAAAAAGCCCGTTGCCACCCATAACGTCAATGCGTAGGCAGACAGCCGCAAAAATTGCCTGATGACAAGCGCTGAGCACCGTCCGCTCCACTGGGCCGACTGCGCCACAGCAACCCGCGCCGACAGGTTCGGCGACTCCATCACCAACAAGCGCTGAGCATCGTCCGCCCCACTGGCCGACTGGGCCATCCCAACCCGCGCCGACAGGTTCGGCGACTCCATCACCAACAAGCGCTGAGCATCGCCCGCTCCACTGGGCCGACTGCGCCACCGCAACCCGCGCCGACAGGTTCGGCGACTCCATCACCAACAAGCGCTGAGCATCGCCCGCCCCACTGGCCGACTGGGCCATCCCAACCCGCGCCGACAGGTTCGGCGACTCCATCACCAACAAGCGCTGAGCATCGCCCGCCCCACTGGCCGACTGGGCCATCCCAACCCGCGCCGACAGGTTCGGCGACTCCATCACCAACAAGCGCTGAGCACCGTCCGCTCCACTGGGCCGACTGCGCCACCGCAACCCGCGCCGGCAGGTTCGGCGACTCCATCACCAACAAGCGCTGAGCACCGTCCGCTCCACTGGGCCGACTGCGCCACCGCAACCCGCGCCGGCAGGTTCGGCGACTCCATCACCAACAAGCCGCGGAAGGACAGCAAGACGAGCATCGTCTGCGACCACTGCGGCCTGCACGACGACGGCGAGATCCACGCCACCTTCTACCGCAACCTGACCACGGGCGACGAGCAGGACGTCGCTATCACCAACCAGACGTACCGCATCATCTGGGCCATCGGGCCGCTCAAGGACGGCGACATCGACTATCACACCCTGCGGCCGCAGAAGGACTACCAGTACCGGTGAGCGGACGCACGGCTCGTGGTGAGGTCAGACTGGGCTGCGACCACGGAAGGACTACCAGTACCGGTGAGCGGACGCACGGCTCGTGGTGAGGTCAGGCTGGGCTGCGACCACGGAAGGACTACCAGTACCGGTGAGCGGACGCACGGCTCGTGGTGAGGTCAGGCTGGGCTGCGACCACGGAAGGACTACCAGTACCGGTGAGCGGACGCACGGCGCGTGGTGACGTCAAGCTGGGGTGCGGCGGTGCTGTTTCGGGACACCTCTTCGTTTACGAATGCTGTGCTGAGTGCACGACGATCAGTGAAAATGCTGAGCCGACTGACAGACTTGGCATTTTCACTGATCTCCGATACGGATAAAAGTGAAGACAAGTCACGAATTCAAAACCCCGCGCAGCATCCATGCGACTGAAGTCCACCACTGGTGATAACGGTGATGGGACGCATAAAATCCGCCTGCCGGCTTCCTAGACACACAATTTTGGATTGCTTCTTTGGATAGCAATGTTGCAGGGCGCATGAGTCCAGAACATCGCGTTCCGAGTGTACAGTCAGGCATGAGAACGGCACAGTAGAACGCAACATCTGTCGAAACAGCCGGCGTCATCAGCCAACGCGTGAACGAGTGTCTTGGTTCCGAACAGCTCGCGACCCACTTCATGCACATCGCCTGACTGCCGCCGGCCTCATTCCAGATACGCCAACTTCCTGGAGCCGGACCTGACCGTGGTGCCCGAGTTCAAAGACAACATCAAATCGGAGGCAGCGCGCACCGTGCAAACCGTGCTCGTGGCGGCCCTGGCCGGGGCTCTGCTCACGCTCGCGCTGCTCTAACGGCGGGTGCGCGAGCCTCGCCGCCCGGCGGGGAGGCTGCCGGCGGGAAGCGCGGGCGGGAGGCTGCCGGCGGGAGGTGCGGGCGGGAGGCTGCCGGCGGGAGGCGCGGGGCGGGAGGCGCGGCGGGAGGCTGCCGGCGGGAGGCCACAGCGCATGTGGCGGCGGGGCCTGAGAGCAAGGAGGGCCGGGCATCGCGGCACGACAGGCCGACAGTGTGCCCTTCAATTGAAACCCCACGACAGAATACGGGGAGAGCTGCGTTGGAAGGGTAGGGGCGGCTGTTTATGTTGTGGTGGCCGACGCGGGCTGGCTGGTTGCCCCCCCCCCCCCCCCCCTCCTTCTCAGCGTGCATACAAGCAGCTTTGGCGTGACTGTGCCTCCAACCGGGAGGATCTGTCGCTGCCAGCACAGGCACGGCAGACGCGCACATAGCACGGCTTGTCAGCGGCTGCCGGCATGCACGGACTGAAACGTGGCATGTGCCCAATTCATGACTGTAGGCTCATATATGGAAGACAGGAATCTAAATACAGTGGACGGGTTTCAACACCAATTCTTCTCGTACCACTTTAACAGTTAATTAATCGCTTTAGTGGCGAGCAATATAGAGTATCCATGAGCTGAAATGGCTAGCCTCGCCATGGAGCTTCAACCTACATATCCCAAAACAAGAGAACGAAACAGTTCAAAACTGACAGTAGCGGGATCGAAATCCGACATGATGAGCTTTTCCGGACACTGAACATGTTACAAGTGGCCTGAAAGCGCAAAGAAGATTTTCCGCGAGCGACCAAAAAGGTGGCACAAAAGGGAGCGTTAACGACAAGCTTGTGACACGATGGACCCTTTCACCACCTCCGTGATCATTCCTGTTTCTGTACCATGAACGACGACACAGAGCATCGATCAGCATGCACTCCTCACCTAATCATTGCCAGGTGAGCCGAGCACGACCTCGCGACGAGATGAGCCTCACGATAGTATGTCTCACTCAGGACAATCACACGTGTCCAGGAAGCAGGCGAGGGACGAGCCGCCTTCGGCCTCGGCTTCGCCGCGAAGCCAATGCCTTTCCATTTCGTTTCGCACCATTTGAACCGATCGGCTCCGGCTTCGGCTTCGAACATTCTGAATTATTGCTCCGGCTTAGGTTCAAACTACTCGCTTTGGTTATGATTGTGACTTTCCCACTGCATTTGAGACTTAACTTCGCAAAAATAGTCTTGCTTGTACCCTCACCCCAATATACCAAACAACACGTCACGGCGGCGACGCACACAACGCTATCAGCTGGCCATTTTCAGGACCAATCAACACCAGCCACGGCCGGAGAAATGGCTGTTCGAAACGTGTGTTTTGGTCAACATAAAAGAAAAGGACATTATCATCCCTCATCCGTAATGCTAAAACACTGTCTAAATAATTCAGCAAAAACCCTGTGGTATTTACTGATCCCATGCTGTTTTGGAGGATGCCAAAATGGTTTGGCTCCGCAGAATAATGCTTAACACAAGATTCGGCTTCAGCTTTGGCCTTGTGGCTTTAAACTGGTGGGTTTGGCTCAGGCATCGCGTTGCCAATTTCGAAGCCGCAAACTCCCGCTTCAGCTTTTCGTAAATAAAGTCGAAGAAGCTGGGTTCGGATTCGACATTGTGTTTAAAAGAAATGTAACTACTGGCGTGGACTTTGGCTTTGCAGCTCCAAAATTTCAAGTCAGCGACTTTGGCTTCCACTTCCGCTTCGCGTTATTGTGTTGTATTTTATTGAACTTTAAGGTCATTCTGCCTTATTGGGCTATTCTTAGACTTTCATCAACAGATGCATTGACAGTTACAATGCAGCAAGCATCAGCACGGCGCAGGGAGATATAACCAAAATGTTAAAATATCAGGTACTTTGAAAATGACATGGACACGGGTCTTGCAAGTAGAAAGGGGCAAGTCCGCAATGTTGTTACTGATGACGCGCTCGCTGGACATGCGCACAGCTCGGTAGGCATATGCTCGCTTCCCATGGTTGTTCCTGGGGCGAGACGGATACAAATGACAAGACTGATGTGTGCCGCGCTCCGTGTTTTGACGGCTGGAGAGCTGGGAGGGTGAGGTCTCCGGCCGCCAGTTGCTCAGTGCGTTATTTTAAAGGCACACGCCGAAGAAGTCAATCAATGAGCCTTGAGCAGTAAGCCAGCCAAACCGTCGTGGACCATCCGGCACATGGTCAAATTTACGTCGTACCGGGATGATCCTAGCTGCGAAGATAAACACGTTCTGCAATTTTGCAACAGTCGTGCTGTTCGCGCCCGCATATACCTGAGCCCAATAACAGATGTGTGAGAGCACACACAATAATGCATGGCAAAACATCGGAAGGTAACAAGTGTTTAGCATTTAGGAAAACGACAAAAGATGCCAAAACAACGCCTAGCTACATGGCTCACGTACAGTTCCCAGGGAAATGCAGGATCTTTAATCACACCTAAATGTTTAGCACTACCTGGTCATCGGAGAGGCTTATCAATTGACACATGACGACGGGTGGATCATGATCTGGCTGAGTTGGCGCCTCTCTCCGCAAAGTAAGGGATCCGTCTTACCAGCGTCAATCATCATGCCATACTGAAGAAACCACGTGTACATTGTGTCCAAAACCATCTCCAAATATTGCCTGAGACCTGACAGCCTGCTAAGGCTCCAGTGGTGGCAATCTGCGCGTAGTCAGGGTAACGGGCTACTGCGCAGAAGCCGTTGATTTCAGATGGTATATGAAGAGTGGGACCATTACTGATTATGTCAAATAACAAGGAGCGAGGTGGGAGCCCTGAAATGTCAATAGTGGTGTTTATGGTCTAGAAAACGTTTCTATCACT